CTCCGTGGTCGGCACAACATGTTCTTGAGTGTATCTAGTATTATTGTAACGCCAGAGAGTCATTCGACCATGTTGGCTAGATTTGAACGTTTTTTCGTCCGTAAATATCGTAGTAGACCAATCGAAATTCAAGTACTCCCGGGCAAAATTTAAACGAGCCGCTTTGTTAGCGTCGGTCAAATAAACTTTTTTAGCGTGACGTCTGTAATGCAATCCCATACTATGCAAATGCTGTCGAATGGTCTCTTTCGTAACATCGAATTCTTCTGCAAAATCGCTGGTAGAAGTGAAGCCGTTCTCTTCGTACTGACGTCTCATTGTTTCTCTTTGCTCGCTGTACAGTGCAGGGGGCCGACCACTTCGCCTATGATCTTGAAGATTACCTTCTTCCCCTTCACGTCTTATCAAAAAACGTGTCGTATATCGCGATATGTTCAGTTCTCTAGAAATATCACTTATGTTGTATCCTAACCGATGTAATGATAGAATTTCGGCTCTTTCCTGTAAGTTTAAATTACGCGACATTTTCATGACAGTAAGTGACTCGAGTTGATCAATAACTGACACTTGACAGATCATAAGTCAAAAGCGATTCGAAAATGAATTAGTTTTTTTTAAGTATGGTATCTAGCATAAACCTCCTTGATTTATAAGGACAAGTTGGTTTGTGTTTACATAAAATATTCTCTATTGCGTTGACATCACAGTTCAAGTTGCATGCTCTTTTAACCATTGCTCTGTGATTGGCTCACAGTTAACCAATTACGTTAATGTAATACAGTAATCCTTAGCGAATAATTATGTTACTGGGAGATGTCATCAAAAGTGGTAAACCAATTTCTTGGTCGCCTATACGTTGTTTGAAATAAATATTTTACCTATGTCACTGCTTACATGCAATACTCTAATTTAAGCTTTTTTGGCATAAGCTAATAAATCAGGTGTAGAGGTACATAGTTATAAGGTATTAAACCTTAACAAAAAGAATAACCAGTTGTAACTTCTACAACTAGGTGAATAGTGTGTCACTATCACGTAATATTTGTCTCTTACCTTAAATCGTACAAATAATGGTACAAAAACTTGAGATCAGTCAGAATTGCAAAAAACTTTTAATCGTGTCATTCTGACACAAATTCATAAATGAGTAGCTTGACTATAGGTTTTATTGTGCATTAAATTAGATACAAAACAAAAAGTATCGGAATTTCGTTGCACAATTAAAATCAATTCTGTCAATCATAACTGTTCAACTTATTTTTTAATATTATCATGTGATTATATTTAATCAATACGAATAAATCATTTTTTACAATAAAAAATAAAATAAAATGATTTTATCACATTTGCAGGCAACATTTATCTATCATTTATATATACCTAATATATAATATGCCTAATTGCGTGGAGACAAACCAAAAGCTATTTATCTAACCAAAAAAAGTATTTCCTGTGCTTTTCGAAAACAACCTACACTACATTTTACATAAATTCTGTAGTTTTATGTGGGCAGGAGTATAGTTAGCGGCATTATTATGATTAACAAGAGCTAGTTTCAATAAAATAAAGCTAAAAAGTATTTAAAAGTGGCAAAAATAATAATAATTGCTTCTCCAAATGTCTATTAAATTTACTGGCTAACTTATACGGCAACTTATATGGCAAACTACACTACCTGACAGCAGTCAGGTCTGAAAAAATATTGCAAGACATTTTAAATATATATAAGCATATATATATTTAAAATGTCTTGCAATATTTTTTTTATTATCAGAGGCCCAAGTGCGAGTTTATTTCACATCAACTCGCTCTCGATAGCAAGCGCGTTTGGCGTTGTGATTGGTCCAAATTTCAGTGCGGGCCAATCACAGCGCCGAACGCGGTCACCGTGACGATCGAGTAGAAGTAAAATAAACTCACACTTGGCCCTCTGGTTTTTAATTAGATAGACTAGTGACAGCTCCAATCGACCAAATTTTCTTTAATGTTGCAAGCGTGCAGTTTGTTTGGACATAAGATATACGCATGACTTAAGCTTTTATACTTAAAATGTCACTACAACTAATAAATCCAGGCTACTCCTACTACTGATAATTGCAAATTCTAACTAATAAATTACCTAAACCTGCTCATTCAGAATACAACACTATTTTTAGATTGTAATAACGCGGCAACCCACCAAATGTCAATTTTGGCTATCTAATTAAAATCAGACTATAATCAAAAACAGTATATACTCAATATAAACTAAGTACAAAAAGTATTCAAATGTTCTCCACTATAAAGAGTCCTTCCAACCCCGAATCTTTTTATCGTAACTACCTACTTGCCAGTAACACGACGAATCTTACGGCAAACTTACCAGATTCGATCATTTTTCCACTGATTTAGGGATATTACTGTTGACTGCGACCTACATTTATGTTGACTGCAAATTGGCTGTTACCTTTCAGGGTCAGTGAAGTCTACGTCGGTTGGCAGGTGGGCGGAGTGTCGGCCCGCGAGACGACTGAACAGTCTCGCTGAAGAGCGACGCAAGGACTCGCGCAGTTTAGAGAAACTCGCGCTCCGCGATACCGCACCACTTTCCTGCCCCCGTGTTATGCAATTTACACTCCATTCCGTTTAAAAATAATGACAACACTACTATTTGTAAGAAATCGAACAAAGAAAAAGGGGTCAAAATTTTATCTGAATTTGGAACAACTATTGGTTATAACAGTTTTAAGTGTGTAAATGAATTTAAATGAGAAATAGGTAAGTAGAAGGTTAAGATTCGTACCAGTTTTATGTTGCTTCGTCTTTCGATATTATTTTCATGTGAATATAACTAATAATGGATATGGCGGGAAATAACCACAGACAACAAAGTCTACAATGGAGAAGTGTCACTAATATGTAGGGTAGAGTGATACATGAAATATACAGAACATCCATAAATAGTGAATGAGATGCGATCATTCATCTAATCTAACAGCAAAAGCCGTTATGTGTTTGTGTTTCTGATCGATCGTCGGTCATGCGTTATGTTTGCATCGTGGGCTATAAATTGCATAACACTGTAGACTCACCTTATTAAAAACAATTTTAAAATAAAATAAAACCAAAAAATAATATTACATAAATTATATTTATTAACAATGTTTATAATTACCATTCGACGTTATCGACACATTTAAAAAATATTTCTCACAGGTGTGACGTGGATTAAATGGAGATTCTTAATCAAAAATAAAACTGAAAGATTTGATGTTATTGTAGTCTATAATGTACATAAAAAACCCACATTCGGAGCACCCCATTGTTAAAAATTAATTCAGTGTATATAAAAATACTATATAATAATATTTATCACCTAACTCTCACATAAAGCTTAGATCGACATACGCTAACACTGGAATGAACGTTAAGCATAAAATTACTGATAATGATGAACGATAAAACATGACTATCGGTAAATACATAAAATGGCCCAACTCAACCTTGTAATTTGTTATAAAACTATGTAAATTTCACGTTACTTACTACATTGCTTAATTTAACCGTATTATGTTGAAATAATCCAATCCAAACTGGCCAAAATTGAAGAATTATGGCTGAACTAACAAAAATCCTTCTTCAAAATCGCATTTCTTTCTAGAAAAACAATTTTTCATCACAGCTACACGTAAATGTTTTTTGAATTTTGGTCAGTTCAGGTCAGACATTATTGATTTGACCAGTTTTTTGGTTTAAATCGTTTCTTTACAACACGGTTCAATTGTGATCCTTATTTACACATTACTATAGACCCAATTTGTGTATAAATGACACAAATATCTCCCTTATTTTTTTTTTAATATATTTATTTTAAAGGTAAACTTTGAACTATTTTCTTTACGGGTTGAGTAAGGCCGACGTTCGTAAAATTAAAATCCACATTCATGCATTCTTACATAAAGAACATCGAACATAAATAAAAAAATACAATCAGTAAATTAAAATTGAATAATGTAAGCGAATAAAATCGTTGTTTAAACATGCCTCATTTAATCATTAATAAAATAAAAATTATTGTATTTATATTATTCATTATATTTATAAATGTGTTTTAATGATCATAAATGCAATTTCAGCGTATAAATTCACAAAACATATACACATTTTATATAACCATTATAAACGGTCTAGTTACCTAAAAATAATATGTAACAACCTCCAATTATATAATCATTTAATTATTTTTCTTATATTATAAATATATAATAGCACAAATTTGCACCAATACAAATAAAAATAAACTTTATGATGATCTAAATAGATGTTATATTTCTCATGATAGATCTTTAACACGGTTATATAAAATGCACTTGAACAAATGACAGACTGTCACCGTATATAAAACTGTATACATAAACCGCCTTGATCCTAATATTTATTCATAAACAAATAGTGTAAACTACAGGACGGCTCACTGACATGCTCTCTATCACACGATCATTTGTATTTTTTTACTTTTTTTTATAGAAAATTTTTACTTTACTAAAAATAAATTGCATGCTAATAAATAATACTAAGCTACTGCGACCATTTTGAAATTTGTTGATATAGAAATGTTAAAATTCCAATTAAAACTTAACTAAGGTTTACGCCCAAAAAATTCAAAATGGCGGGGCAAAATTAAGTGTGAAACGCACATGATCCGTAATAAGTGGGTGGACGTTAATCGTGGTACAACAAGACAACGACTTTTTGTTTATAGATATAACGGTTCTTCGTATTAAAAAAAATTGAATTATATTTCGAATTTCAAATTAATATTTTTATCTGTGGTAAAAGCAAGGCATCTTAAGAACATGTTAGACCTTTCGTTCTTTCTTACACTTATGGCAATAAATCCAAGTGTGAATAAAACAGGATCCATTCTAATTTAGCAAACTACTCGAACCTTCCACACGTAACTAAGAACCATGTGCGTAAAGCGAGTGTGAACTTAAACCCTAAGGTGTACTACATAAGAGCTACTGGTGCGGCGGATTGCTCCCGGTGTTGATCCCTAGAGCATTGAACAGCTTTGACTTTAGGTTCATGCGTGGTTCGCTCGCTTGGTTCGCGCCCTAAGGAAACAAACAAAAAAAAATAAACAAAATAATAATGTGCAAATAATAAATTGGTGTGGTAATAAGCTTACTATAGAGCAAAATATAAATATATTATTTTACAACTGACTTCTATGAAAGTATGGATAACATTATTTCCTAATGATCCAGTGTTTTTTAATACACTTTATGCTGACTCCGTAATTATAAAGAGAGATTCCAATTCTAATTATTTCCATACCTTCAAAGTGTCAGTAAATTAACAGCTTAATGAATATTATACAAATGCAATGCCCATAAGTATTTTAAGACGAGCATTTTGAGAAGCAAAGTACGTAGTACATTCAAATCAAGTGGCAAATAACACGAACATGAACAACACATATGAGTAAACAAATAAAAATGTAATGTATGACATGGTGTATTTGCTTGCAACGCTGCCTGGTCAATGTTTGAATGCATATACATAAAGCTTCACTAGTTTCAGATGTAAATTCGTGTCATTTAAAAGATTGAAGGCTGCGTAAGGCCCGGTATTCACCAAAGCAGAGAGGACGAGGCGAGAGTGAAGACGAGAGATGTATTTTGAATAACCAATCAGATTTAGTTATTTTCACATGTCCTTTCAACTTAGTTTCGGTGGAAATGGATCAAGCGGAGAGGAGAGAAGATATCTCCTTTTTCTAAAGAATTTAGTGCCGCGAGCGAGTAAGCGGCGCGACAGAGCGGAGAAGTGTGTAATTGGCGGCCGGGCGGGCGCCAACTACACACATTCCCCGCTGCTTTCTCCCAACAAACTCTTGAAATAGTGTGGCATATTCGCCATGAATGTGACATTTTATATGGTTTCTTATCCAGAATCTATTTTGCCGTCGATAATTTAAAAATTGAAGAATTAGTCGTATTCCTTTAGCTTCTAATTAATCTTCCTCAAGCAAATTAAGATATAACTATAACAACATGACGTCGTCCTTTCGTAGTTTCAGTGACTTGGCTGACTGGACTTGACAGTACAGTACTTGACTAGTTTCGAGCTCTCACAGCTTACATCTCTACTACACACAGCTCACATCTCCTCTCCGCTACTTTGGTGGAAATAACCTGCCAGCTTCGCAGCACATCTCGTCTCTGCTTTGGCTGATACCGCGCCTAATACAGCTACCTGTATGAAGTGTGTAATTCGTACGTACACCGCATTGAATCTGCTTAAACGAAGACAAATGCAAAAATTGTTTTAACTTTAAGATCTTATACCCAATGTCTTTTATTCACATTCATTTTTCATTCATTCAAGTTATATTTTAAATACCATTCTATCAGAAGCTCAATTCTCCAACTAAAAAATCTTTTCAAATTCACTTCCGATCTACTGTCATTCTCACAAATGTCAAAAATAGTAATCTAGTAGCAAAGTAAACATCCAACGATGTGTGTGATATGACTATATAGTGTTGTGACCGAAAGTTGAACCGGTATTCAGCCTAGTCTTAATAATACTTTTCTACAAGAATACCTTTTATGACATTTGTGAGATGGAGATTAGGTACATCGGAACTGAACGATATTTTATTGTGCGAATTGACCTTCAGATTTATGCACTCCTAAGGTAATAAACCTTATGAAAACTCTACAATATAATATATTTGGTACTATTAAGATATAAGTTTTCTAAATCGTCTGCCCTCATTTAACGTCTTCTCAAGAGTAACTAATATAATTATACTGTATATTTATTAAGGCTGGGCAGACAACGGGCGGGGTGGAATGGAGAAGCGGCTTGAACTGCACGTATAAGTCTGACCCGGCCTTTAAGTACATCGACGTATTCTGACTATTATCTCCACGAAATTACATCTGAACTTAGTGATCTTTGAGAACATAAAACAAATAAATGAAAGGTGGCCTATGTATAAAATAATCCAGAAACATTAAACCTGTTTAAATATTTATAAGGAAAGCATTACCAATATCTTACAAGAACTCAAAAACCATTTATCATTCTTTAGATAAAAACGTTATAGATATACCTTATGTGTACTTTAAGCACCAATATACGACCAAGGACAAATTCACCAACGAATTTCCGCTAACCTTCGAGGTAACATCACATGTAACAGTCATAGCTGTTCCAATAACAAACAAATGGTATGAGAAAAGCATTTTGTACACAACACAGCCCGATTTGCGAAACCCGAGTGCAACACTATAACCCGGCAATCTCGTGCGCGACCGTCCCGCGGGGTGACAGACAGTGGCGGGGGCGAGGTAGCGCGTCATTCTAGCACACGGCTATACACGAAGAGAAGCGTTTACCTTCCCCGCTACACCACCCGCTACCCGCTGACATCTTGAGTACCTCGTCCCCGCCACCGTCTGTCACCCCGCAGGACGGTCGCGCACGACGTTGATGGACTATAGACGACGTAGGACATGCGCTCAATGTCAAGCTCCCATTGATACCGTGAATGTTTGGATGGTGTGCAGCTCAGTGAAAGTACGACACACCAGTGCAAAATTCCAAATTCGTTTGAGATAGCTTCGTTTCTATACGTTTATTATTTATTATTAAATATTTTCTGCCCTAAAAGATTTGTTGAAATAGACACAGGATGTGTAAGGGACATCATAATGAAAATCGAAATAGTAAAAAAAGATAATTCATTTTCATTTCATTTATATTCCTTGGTTTGAAATGGTTTGAAATCTCGCTATTGTAAGTATATAAGGTCATATATAAGGTCATATTAAATGTCCCAATAAATTCAGCAGATATTCTCGCTAGAGGGACGATGCCGCAACTTTATCGCGTAACGCAAATAAAAATATTCATTATAAATCTCATCTTAAATTATTGTAAAAAAACAGACTGATAGGCATCGTGCTAATTAATTCTGTCACTTACACCCTGCATACACTGTTATTAGAAAACGAGTTAAAATATTACTGACACAAAAAATTTCCTTTACCATAGAGTAAACCGTAGAGTAAGTATGTTGTTACTCTACGGTAGGTCTCAATAAAGTTACAAAAAAAATTAAAAATGTTTTTGCATTCTAGGTATTATAGGTACAGAAATCTGTGATTATTAGTAATTAGAGAGTTGTATAGAAACGAAGCCAGGTGTATCGTTGGGTGCGACAAGCCGTGTAGAAGTGAGGCGCGCTCAGGGCCTGACCTCGTCGTGCGCGTCGTGTGCGGGCTCCGCGTCGCGCACGTGGCGGCCGCGCCCGCGGGATTGCTTCACGATGTCCAGGGCCTACCACCCAAGCGGTATCAGTACATCAGCTTTTTATATGTCTCTTGGCGAACTGGCAACACAGTGCCGTTCGATTTCCCTATCTTAAGAAAATTGACAACAATCTTGTTTAGGAAAAAACTAAAATAAGCGAGTAGAAAATAAAAGATTCGTTGGTCTTTTATTTCTGTTGTGTACCTATTTCTATTATTAAAACAAATTGCCTAACAAACATACATAAATATACATCAGTGAAAATTAAATGACTATCGCCATTAATAATTAATTTTGAGATACAAAAATTTTTTTCGCCATTTCTCAGCCACCTGTAAAATAATATCTAAGGTTTTTTTTTTAGTAATAGTGACTAGCTGTCGTTTGTGACTTACTTGCTGAACGTGCTAGGCAGCGTGCAAAATTAATTATTCAAATTAATTTGTGCTCAGTATTTAGCGAATACAATAATTAAATATTGACTTTATTCAAAAATATATAATATGTTACACAACTCTGGTCACAAATGTATTTCAGAGCAAAAGTTCGTGTTCAATAAATGTTGATAATTATACATATATAAATAGGTGTTTATTTGTGCGTGTTAAAATAAGCATAAAAGTAAAAATTGAACAAAAATCCAATAATAAAAAGTATAACTACTTTTTTTTAAATCTTTTCGAAAATAAAAAACAAAAATAAAATTGTGACAAATTTTAATATGATTAATATTATAAAAAATATATCCGTCAGTGCATTCTCAAGAACATTCTGAATATTTAAAACAATATTATAAAGTGGATTAGTATGGTATAAAACACTCGTATCTACAACCATATTCACAAACAAATAGAATAGCATATGACTTATTCAAAATTCCTCTATTAATTATTATTGTCTATAAATAGTTTGTATTTGTATAAAGGATCGAACTCAGACACCGCGCTTTGAGTGTAAGTACTGTTGTAGATATTTTTATATAGAAATAAAAAATGGACTCCTTAGAAACATTAGTCTCATAAATAAATGAAATTATATGACGATGCAAAAATTAAGACACTATTTGTACGTATGTATGTAAAAATTATGAGATGCGCAAGATCACATCACGTCGTTAAAACACACACAGTAACACGTAAACTAGTAATTATCATGGAATAGTACCGGTAATCATTACCGACTTCGACAGAGTTATATTTTTTATTATATCCAATTGTATAGTTGAAATTTTTACAAAAGATAATTCGTAAGTGAAGTACTGTGTCAAAAATGTCAATTTTACAGGACAGCAAATAACGGTATCGCTTAATGTACAGAACTTTTAATTATTTGTTTAATATCCTTCAACGGTGTCAATGACTATCGAACCTAAATTACGCATCGGTATCAAATAGTGTCTATACTTGTGCAACGCGAAGATACCAAGACCATCAGGAATGTTCATAGTGATGTTCCGTAAGTGATAAGAGAATGGCAATAAGTGTTGTACCTCCTTCCTGCTGCGGAGCGCGCAGTCCTCCAGGGTCTCGGCCGCCTCGTACTTGCCCTGGCGCCGGTACAGCGCGCCCAGGTTCTTCAGCGTCGTCGTTACCGTGGGGGAGTCAACCTGCCGCGTCAATTATGATTTATATAACTCTCTGTTTCGATCACATTAATCTATAATTATTATTTGAAATTTAAAATTCTTTATTACCATACAAAATTCAGTACAGATCTATACTAATATTATAAAGCTGAAGAGTTTGTTTGTTTGTTTGTTTGAACGCGCTAATCTCAGGAACTACTGGTCCGATTTGAAAAATTCTTTCGGTGTTAGATAGCCCATTTATCGAGGAAGGCTATAGGCTATATATCATCACGCTAAGCGCAATAGGAGCGGAGCACCAATGAAGAATGTTTCAAAAACGGGGAAAATTTATTAGTATTGAGAGACGCAGACGAAGTTGCGCGGGTCAGCTAGTTACTAAATAAAATAATAATAATAATATTGTACCACATTCACACAACGCCATCTAGTCCCAAACTAAGCAGAGCTTGTACTATGGGTACTAGACAACTGATATAAATACATATATACTTTTTTTTTGTAAATACATACTTATTATACATAGAAACACCCAGACCAAATCAAACATTAAATGTTCATGCACACAAATGTTTGACTTGAGCGGGAATCGAACCCGCGACCTTTGGAATAGCATTCCTTTACACAAACCACTACGCCATTCGGTCGTCAAATGTATCAAATGTCGTAAACTTGTATTATGGATGACTTTTTACACAATAGATAAGAGATTGCCGTTGACGACCGTACTAATATAAATTGTGTTACAGTCTTCAGAGTAACTTAGAGATACCTAAATGGGGAATATTTATGTGTAAAAAATCTCGCATCTCCTCGTTTTCTGACAATCTGTGGTAGTGATTCCGCGCGCTCATTGGTCAAATCAAACATGTTTGCACCAATCAGCGCGCGGTGTCAAAGTTGACCGTCAGATGGTAAGTGAGATTCTGTAAGATGACAGATGTTACATATATATTTGGCTAACGTAAAGTTCGTTTGTTTTTCTTTATTATTGAAGTGAAACTTCTTTAGAATCGTTGTGATTTGAAACTTGATGAAGAGATGCGAGAGAATGAGATAAAATACATTACACATTATTTTTAATATCATATTTTGTCAGTATGAATATTTTTATCTCTTTATTTAATACTAGCTGGTACCCGCGACTTCGTTCGCGTAGAATTTGATAAACGCTGCCTTAGTGTGTTCGATTCCCGGGCCGGGAAAAAATTTATAGGGTGTTTCTGAGATATATTTTTTTCGGAAATTTCACGTCTGCCGTTTGTGGATTACACTCACACTTTTTTTTCATTTTTTTATATACCTGACGTGCATTTCATAAACATCTTAAGAGTAGCTTGTGCAACAGGCATCTAGCGGTTCGATACACGCTTTCGTAGTGATAAATAAGCCAATTGTCTATTTCATTCTATGAACATAGGTTATTGGTTATGGTATAGGTTATTTTTAAGTCGATGTATGTTAATAGATGGCTCAAAAGTAATTCAACCTCCAGACAAACCTTAGGGTTGATGTTTTATAGCTTACACCTTTATTTTCTATTTTGTCAAATAGAAGTGTACAAATAAATAATTAAACAAAATCACACTCGCATTTATAATTGTATTTTTTAGGGACATTTATTTTTATACTATTTATTATATTATACTAATCAAATTAGTACTTAATTTTGATCTTTCTGAAAGAAATGAGAAGAAGAAATTACCTTCGCAGCCTTATGCCAGCCACCGTATTCCCCATAGGGTGCATTCTCCTTCTGCAAGTGTTTGTTCTCTTCGCGTTCTTCAGCCACCTGCCAGATCGGTTTGTTGTCGCCTGAGGATGTATACAACATATTGTACTAAGAAACCACGGTTTAGTAACGGTTAGATATAGTTGATTGACAAAATAGCAAGATAAGAGAGGAGATTATTATATACGAAACTAGCTGACCCGGCAAACGTTGATTTACCATAATATATACATTATTTCAAAAAAAATTGTCAAAAAATTAGGTGTATGAAAAATAGATGTTGGCCGATTATCAGACCTACTCGATATGCACACAAAATTTCACGAAAATCGGTCAAGCCGTTTCGGAGGAGTTCAACCACGCACACCGTGACACGAGAATTTTATATATTAGATAATTATGATTGTTCTCTTTTTTTGAAATCTTATTCAATTACAGACGTTTAACGTTTATGATTTTTTTTTTTAACTTTTACTATATTCCTTATTCAAGATATGTTATAAACAAGACCATATCGTATCCTCAGAATTAAAGTGAACTAAATCAAGAAGCAATACGTGAGTAAGAAGCAACAATCTATAAAAGAAGATTGCGTAGCGGAATAGTGTGATCCAAATGAAAAGAAAAATATTTTCTATTCATAATTTGGACTCTTTCAAAATTAGGAACGCCAGGAATTATGAGTCAGGTAACTTTGATTTTAAGGGTGCGATATTTGTAAGATTTTACTAGCATCAATAATAATTAAAAAAGCTGCTTAAATTAAAAATGTGACACAAGTCGGGAAGGTGTGACACTGGCAACATTTTCAATTAACAGATTAAAAATGTTCAAATTAATAAAAAAAAACAAAAAAAAAAACATCTTATGCCTTTCCTACCTGTGCCACACGTTATCCAAACTTGTGTCACTTACCGAATCAGTTTCTTTTAAATCCACATACAAAGCACCAAGGATATCATTATTATCAAGGAACTGCGATGTTAACTGTGGCAACATTTCAATACTAAAGAAACGTAAGTTTAGTCGATTTGACGTTTCTTTGATCGAATGACTGTTAAAGGTTTAATTAAAGAAAAAATTAAAAATTAAGATCACCATTTAATGTTTAGAAGTAGATAAATAAATACAAATTCTGAGACTTTGCATGTTAAATTATTTGGTATACAATTATGTCATTTTTTGGTATAATGATCAGTGGAAGACAATACAAGAACTATAAATTTCTTTCAGTTACAAAAGCAACCATTTACTAGTTCAGTTATTTTAGCTTTTTGTGATATATTTGGTAATAAAGCACAACAAAAATCAAACTACAAATTGATAATTCCTTTTAACTAGTAAATGCATACTTTACATTATAAAATCTACTTAAATCAACATAACAATAAAATAATTTGATAGCAGCTAAAAAGCGTAATAACAGAAAAATATAATTTGGTAGAAAATAGGCCAAATATGTATTATATAAGTAATAATGGACTAAACAAGGCCACAAATTCTAGTAAAAAAAAACTTTTTGCTCAAAACTACGTCACCTGCAAACATACTTGTCAATACTATGAGTGCCCGCCTTGGGGAGGTTTCATATTGCTAAGCAAAGTCTTGGAGACCCTCAGTTCATACAAAATTAGGTATTTTGGTATTTGCATTAACAACTCTATATATTGCTTTAACTTCTTTTGTAAACTTCATAAAGCTAATTGAAAAAAAAACCTTAGCGAGCCTTACAGCTGCATATTTTGACGTGTATCGGACGCGCTTTCCCGGTTTGCTGTTACATAATTCCGTCCCTTTTAAAAGCAAGAGGAAAGGTGCTACCCATCAATACTTATTTAAAATTCTTAAACTATTTAAAACTAAAGGACGCTTGATCAGCAGTTGCTAAAGCTTAATGGTGTGAATATCATAACTAATTATTGCACATCAATCGTCCAAATTCCCTTGGATCTTAGCAAAGGCAACCGAGATTGTCGAAATCGACTAAAGATCTTGATATGTGAATTTTAATTCACAGTCAAGAATGAGGCGACCACGTTTTATTTTTATTTTTTTGAAATTACGAATGTGCGAAGCTTTTGTCTGTACCTACACATAACATAAAAATTAGTTCATTAGTTAGTTAGTTTAGTTTCATTAAAAGTTTGTATGAAGATTACTTTTCTAAAATGTCGGATATTGTCTATTGTTCTCTGTTTTTTAAAGATTATTTTTACGTAATCGCGGTATAACATATATGAAAAATGCGACTACAATAAACAAAATAATATAATTGTAAATATGCATAGACACTAAGTTGCTGATATTACGACTCCCAACAAAACACTTTGAAATTTTTATTTTAGAATGAGCTCAATGATTTATAAATATATTGCTACTATTAGTCTTGTAATAAAAAATAATAGCATCCATACATACTTGATATCCGTTTTACTACAATTAAGATAATGAATAACCTAACGTCTAATGATTGCCCAAAATATGGATGAATGAATTTTGGAATAGTTTGCATTAGCGTGTAACAGACGGCTTATTAAAGAAAGAGAGTGATGCAGTGCGCACGTCAATACTCTGTATTCTAATTAGTAGGAATTTGAACGTTGTTGCCTAGTAAATAGATTCTACATTAGCTAATAACATAACATGAAACGCGGCGACAGTGAACACCGGTTTCACGAGTAGCATTATATAAAATGTGCATAGCACTATAAAAAACACAATTTAATTATTTTTTTTGAAAGCACATTATGTACCGTTCTTCACTAGTTGTGTTTTTTTAAATTAAAATCAAATAGTTTAAAAGACTTTTTGGCAAGACCATTTATTATCTGTTTCAACAGACGGCAAACGCACATTCGTCTATGGTAAAAACTATAAGAATCTATGTCTACTGCTATCACGCAAAGCTTTAAGCTAACTTAGCCTAATAGTAACCAAAAACTATTTCAATGGCAAGGCACAGAGTATCAATAGTCTACCAATCAAAGCTTAATGAAATGCATAAAGAGATCTACAAATACAAATAAAAATCATTATTAAACAGAATAAAAAAAAAAATTGAGGCATAAATTCTTCTTCATAGTTTTATTAGACGCAACAGACAATGATAACATGTATTTATCAAATAAAATTATAAAAATATAAATTTATTTATTGACGGGATTTCGGACGGCTGAATTTTTGCGTCGAATAAAATCTATTTATTATATTATCATAAATTGTCTAATTTACTCTTTACAGTTTAATAACATTCACTTACAAAACTACAAAATCATAAAATAATTCAAAAATAGAACAATGCAAGAATTCTATAATCTCACTAATACAACAAAAAAATCACTAACATGCAATTGTTTTTGTATTTTTCATTGACTATTAAAATATTCGAGATGGTTATAAAAAAATAAACAATACATATAATTTTTCATGATTCTTTTCAAAATAGAACCCGACGGCTGATTCTGTAGAGCCACATTCACACTACGTTTTTTTTATTTGATAGAATGACTATCAAATAAAAAAAAAAAGTTTAGTTGCATTATGTTGTGTAACATCTGACATCTAACACCGTGCTCATTGGTCAAATGATATTTTATTTCCAGGTGAGACAGGATTTCCTGTTACACAATTCCGTCCCTTTCCAGGAAATCAGTTCCACAGATTGCATAAGTGAGACGAAAGATGTCGCGCTTAAAAAAAACAGCTGTGATCAAGTTTGAAATCTTTGGTTATAATGTGGCCATGCAGAATCAACGCTAAAATGTAATACGTATCTGTCACACATTATTTGTGCTTCAATAGATATATTCATAGATTAATACAATAATAATATAACCTCCACCAACAGATTATAAGATGCTGCTGAGAAATGACGAAATAAAACTATTAGTCTTTTTATTTATTTATCCTTTAACGGTATTTAAAAAAAAATAGCCGATTGATGCCCTGCCCTTGTGAAGTCTCCTATTACAAGTAGGACATACGAGTCCCCGGCTTCTTTAATGCAGTCTTAGTCTGGTTAACATGAGACTTTTTTTTGGGACTAATCTATTCCACACGCCTAATACTGTAATAACTCCTATACAAAAGGATCAACAGCAGTGACCCACGAACACACCAAGTTATAACACTAGGCAAGTCCCAGCAAAAGTTAAGCTATCTTAGAACCTGCAACAAAATTAATCAGAAGTAAATTGGAGGAGTTGAAAATATATAAATCCACTGCTCTCCTTAACAAAGCCATGTACTAGCGGTACCAATGGACCTGCTGCTGTCCATTGTTCCCAAATTCAACTTTTTTCTATGACAGAAAACCATTACATTCCCAATTAGTGTCATCGTCATGGTGGCGAAAAAGCCATTGCAATGTCACACATTAAGCCGATCCTAAATAGAATAAAGAGGGCAAGAATAGTTAATTAAAAATTAAAGAGAAATCATGATCTCCAACAATTAAATTACGTTTTAAAATTATTATTTTGTCATTTCTCTGGAGGCAAAAGTTTGAGCAGCCATTTTATAACGAATATTATGCTATAGGAATGTAGCAACAGTGTGCCCTCCAGTAATATTACTCTTAAACATTATCGTACACTAAGCGCGGGATTTTTATTTTTTAGGTTTTTTTAATGATGCTATATACTCTGAAATAATAAATAAAATATATAATCAATTTTAATTTCAAAACAAAGTACACCAATTAAATGTTTTGCCTCGGTATAACAAATAAAAAAAAATATAACCATAACACATTATTAGTTCAATAATAATTATAATAAATTATGTAATAGTTAATATATAAAGCGATTATATGGTATACGCAGTTAATGTGTGGGGTAAGTGTCGTACAAGGGGGTGTGCAACTCACCGTCGATGGTGCCGAACTCCCGCTCGTGAGCTCGCGTCAGCACCTGCTTGTACAGCGTCTCTGCTTCCTTGTACTTGCCCTGGCAAACACCAAATTTCACATGAAAAAAGTTATCTATTTACAGCATATGTAGGTATAACTATCATCATCATCATCATCAACGGACTTCACTAGTCCACTGCTGGACATAGGCCTCTCCTGAGAAAGGAGGTTTATGCCTACTATACACTGGCCAGACGGTTTGGTATAGGGTTTGTTTCAAGTTTTCCTTCTCTTTGCAGTACTGTTGTCCTGCGTAGTTTTCGGGATGAATAGGATGACACTGTATTCTTATCCCGCCACCACACAGACAGCTAGCTAGGTATACCGAGCTTTGCCCTATTTAGTTTCCGGGATAAATAGTTCCATACTATAATCTATCTCTGTCACAAATATCACCCAAATCCGTTAAGCCGTTCTGGCGTTCTGGCACACATTTACGTTATTTATAGTATAGATACAATGAATCGTACGTTCGAGCATTGTATAAACATGACAATAGATAGTTTTGAATAATATGTGTGTACATGTAATGCTATTGCAATACATAGGGTCAAAGGAAACTGAACTTGAATCACAGAAAACCCAACAACTTTAAATACGATTATTGTATAGCTTGCGTTGTTAATATAGACTGATTGGATAAATTGCTTTCCACAATCCTGTGCATTAGATATTAACATTATTTAAATCGATTATTTAAAATAACAAGCCATGATAATACCGACAACGAACGAATAAGAATTCAATTTTTTCATTTCGAATTAGCTTTTGCCCGCGGCTCCACCCGCGTGTATGACGGTTATCGTAATAAAAAGTACCCTATGTCCTTCCTCTAGAATCAAACTGTCTCCATACTAAATTTCATATAAATCGGTTCAACGGTTTAAACGTGAAGAGGTATCAGACAGACAGACACACTTTCGCATTTATAATTTAGTATGGATTCATAATAGTAAGTTTTAAACTAACCTGTTTTAGATAGCAAGAGGCGAGATTATTTTTCGTCTTGGCAACATTGGGGTCGTCAGGGCCCAATTTACTTTCATAGATCTCCAACGCACGCTGGTAATATTGCTCCACTTCTTCATATTTGTTCTGTAAAAAAAAAACAGATTACATTTTTATTGAATTTAGAGAACAGAATTCCCCTTGGCGAATATATTAACGCTAGTAAATAATAGTGATTTAATACATAAAACCTTTTCAGGTTTCATAAAACCCTCAGATATCTCTAATGAATACCAAATAAGCTCCTGCAGTGAAATAATCGATTGAAAATAATACTTTTATTTGTATCTGAAGAACATGCTATTTCTGAAAGATAGAAAGCTGTACAAACGAAGTGCGATCGCTACAGTGTAAGAAGTGTGTGTGGTGTCAATGCTTAAATTTGATCTGTGCTTTGGTCTCGAGCTAAGCTTCTATTCGCTGTTCATATAAGTTTATTGTATGGTTTGGACACTTTTTACACGCTTTTTACTAGCTTCACTTGTGTGTTTGTTTGTAACCGACTCTTTTGAGCGTGATTTTGACTGACTTTAAACGGTCAACCTTTGTAGATATATCGAGGACCAATGACAATACACTAATTTAAATAAAAAAATATTTAAAAAAACTAAAAGACACGCTTTTTATAGAAATCCAAACTAAATAGAAAATAAATTTTAATACATTTGAAAAAAAGCGTGTTTTTTAGTTTTTTTTTAAACTATTATTTTTTATCGTTTATACTGTACTATTCCCTCACGTGGACTTGGACACCAAGCCCCAGACATCATACTCCATAGGTCTAATATTTTGATTATTTTAGGTACGATTTTTTTTTGGTTCTTGACATTTCAAACGAATTTTACCTTTCTTTTTAACCGACTTCAAAAAAAGGAGGAGGTTATCAATTCGACTGTATTTTTTTTTTTATGTTTGTTACCTCAGAACTTTGGCTGGGTGAACCGATTTTGATAATTCTTTTTTTTTGTACTGACTTGACTTTGACTATTAAAGACACGGTGCTTTAGAGATGTCGAGATTAAGAATGTACCTGGTTCTGACAGAGCAGTGCGAGGTTGTTAAGCTGCTTCGCAACATCGGGGTGGTCGCGCCCCAGCACCGCCTCGCGGATGCACAAGGCGCGCTTGCACAGCGGCTCTGCCTCACGGTACTTGCCTGGAACAAATCAAAAAGCACTTAGGGCCAGTCCGCAAGGAATTTATTCGCTCGGAAATAAATCGCCACCGTATCGCGTTCAATTTGCATCAAATCACAGACTTCTTTTGATGGTTTTTTTTTCCCGCCTGTACGGATAAATTCTATGTGTCACAGAATTTTGCGGAAAAAAAAAGCTCGGTGAAATATCGCTGTGCGGAGGGGCCCTTATCGACCATCCTCCTTACTAAGAGTATGAGCTATTCTAACACAGGTTTTATGAAAAATTAGTTTTGGTCGCGGCTTCTCATGTTAATCGATGAAGCGTACCTCAGGTATTTCAACAAAAAAATATTATGTTTATCAGAACTTCCTGATGGACTCTTATGCTTTTGAGTTCCCTTTTATTTTTACTTGTTCTTCAGGCACTATATTGTTATGCATATCGATAGGCTAAGTTCTATAGTTAAACCGCCGTAAGCTTAGCCCTCCTGATGGTTTGGGGGACGCGGGGCGGGGGTGCATTCAACCAATTAGCTAGTGCGTCGCTGTCCGCCGGCAGTGACTGACGTGAAAGTATGGCTGTACGTGTTATTTTTCTTAAGACTGCTACACACGGGATTATTTTGCAACATGGATAATCTGCCGACTCTGCGTCACAAAAATATTTAAAAACTTGAAGTTCGGCTTACAGAGGTTATACTGTCAAAGTTCTAATAAAGAATATTTATAATTTTACTTAATTTTTATATTGTATCTAAATATAATTTACATGATGAAGATAAGGTGATTTTATTAAAATTATTTTACAATATTAAATTTTACAATTAATCATAAAAACTTACAGTACACTGACATTATAATACATGGAAATAAATTCGATTTTTATTACATCGTGTGTAGATTAAATCTCAAACAAATAAATCTGAAGATATCGAGTTAGTACATCGTGTCATGTATAGCCGAGCGCATCACCCGCCCCGCGTCCCGCAAACCATCAGGAGGGCCAAGCTTACGGCGGTTTAACTATAGTAACTAACGACCGTCTGAAAGTAATGTTTTAAATGTTTAAGTTAATACTTTCTGTATAATAATGTCCTTTCTATACCTCTGATAACGTGTAAGCAAAACTGCATGATGATCGGTTACATATTTAATGAAGGAAAGAAACAAACCAACTTTCACTCGCAATAATATTAGTTAGGATTACTTCATACAACGCAGAGGATGTTTTCCCTCACCTCGCTTGCCGTACAGCACCGCTAAGTTGTTGAGCGTGGCGGCCACGGCGGGGTGGTTCTCGCCGAGAGTCTTCTCACGAATAGAGAGAGCATCGTTCAACAAATTGGCCGCCTCCTTGTATTTGTTCTGGTCTCTGTGAATAAGTTTTTTTTTCTACGATGAATTTAATATTTTATATAAGTATATTGTGGCAACTCCCACATACAAAGAAACAGAAACATAATACAGCGCCATCTAATGAAGACACACCGAACTACGGAGTAACTACTAAAAATAAGAATTGCTAATCCTGTATCGCGATATAAAGAATTTCCTCGCCGATTAGCATATGTACAACTTCCCAACATCAACCGTTGGGCCGCGGCCCGCCAGGCATGATCACCTCGCCTGGTCGGGGGATCCTCCCTTTGTGTTGGAGGGACATGACACCCGTTCCTCCACAATATAATATCTTTGAAATTTAAATTTAGGTATCTCAACACTCTGAAACTGCGGTACAGGTCGATATGTTATCAGTAGTCATTATTTACATCTACAATTCGGGTTTTCGGTTTATTTTGATTTAGGCCTTTACATCATCAGGGGGGGTCATCTATAAGCCGTAGATGGGTACGGCTGGGTACCAGGATTTCCTTTCTAAAGTATACCTAGTTCCCCGGCTACTGGTACCTGGAGACGGCGTGCGGATTTTGGTCGGTTCGAGTACGACATAATGACCCAATGGCGGGTGGTATCCGAGGGGAGTTCCGCACAGAAAAAAATAAATAAAAAAAGGCCTTTACATCGTGTGTATTTTTTATTTTATCTTTATCACTTCTCAACCGATTGTCTTATAAAATGAGACATTGCCTTGTAATCTTGTTTGAAACATGAATTCTATTACGACTTTTGAAAATAATGATAATAAAACCAACTGTGAAATTGTTTTATACATTAGGATTTATAAAATATGGCCGATTTTCAGACGGTATATTCGCCAAGTGCTGTTTTTTTGCACAATGTACTCAAAATTTTTGCTCAAGATATCCTGCTACCTCTTTGCGATCCTTAAATAAGTAACCATGTTCTTGAGATTAAAATTTATAAAAAATATTGCGAGTTCATAGACAAGAGGTCCAAAGATGACTGACGACCTCCAAAGACATCACAAGTCACTCAGATCTACAACAAAAAAACATATGGGCCATACCTGTACACCAGCGCCAAAATGTTGAGCATAGTAGCAACATCAGGATGATCGTGTCCAGATGTCTTCTCCAGGTCTTCTAGAGCTTGTTTGCAGAGGGGCACGGCTACCTCGTACCTGCCCTGGGAAGCATACTGAATCACCAGATTGTGGAGTGTCCTGAGACGAGCGGGAATCTCGTATCCAGCGTTTACTTGCTGTGCGAAGTGCATTGGTGGCGTGGGTGACATGGCTGCAATAGAAATAGTAAATTATAGAAAAGGACAGGATCGTAAATACCTGGTGGTGAATACCACCGTGGGACACCTGCAACTCACAAGTGCCGCGTTTGAGGTAAGGTAGGAGTACGCTCTTTTGCATCACAGTTTATGCGAGGAAAAAAACCTAAGATGTCGCGGATACGGAAGAAGTTCTCAATTCGTTTGTCTTTGTTATGTTTATTACTTCATTACATATGAACTAATTTGAAAAAATATTTTTGTATTTGGTCCATTTGGCACCAAATTAACATATTTGCCATATAAAAAAAAAAAAAAAAATATTGTTTTAACATGAATGTAGGTAGCTATTTCAACAATATTTAACTTATAACTTATCTTAAGCTAAACATAAGGGTAAGTATAATTCTTAAAATCAGAATAACAAATATATTGATAATTAATTTTTGTTCCATAAGCAACATAGACCTAATGAGATAGAATAACAATCTTAACAAGTGGTAGCATATGTGTATATGTATGGGTATACTCGTAAATGTGGCTAATTAAGGAATGAAGTAAGATTTTATTATTCAACATGATGTAGGCGCCTTCAGTCAGTTATACTTTTTTAAAGTCCGTAGTCTAGTTATACCTAGTTATATTTTACCATTATATTTTCTTATTATCATTGCATCAAGTTATGAGACATTTGACAACACTGCGTCATAAAATAAATAGATCCGCTAGATGCCGCGTTATGTAGTAGTGATAACGGTTTTTATATAATATTTGCTTCTAGATTGTGGGAGCAGAAAGTATACCAGGTGAATGTATCATAACCTTGACCTTTTGATACGGCTATGAGAGACAGTGAAATAAATCAAAGACTATATAAATTGTATATGGTTTGAAAAGCGCTCAACATAATTAACTAAATAAATACGGGCAAAAAATATTTACACATACACCAAAATACGTGATCCAAAATGAAAACTACAAGTGTACCATGGCCGAAATTTCAGCACTCTAGTAATTTTAATAGAGTAGAAATCCTGTTGTCTTCTCGTGTAAATGAACTCAAGGTATGTAAGTTGCAACAAAGCCTTGAGTAGATGGCCCATTAATGCTAGTTCTATAGGTTTTAATTTGTAATAGTCTAATATGAAAAAAAAAGCTAACTAAAAATCTACTATTAGGTGAGAAAAATTAACAATCGGTAAAACTGTTCGGAATAATACTATGCGGATGAGATGTAGAGGCCCTTCAATTTCTTTGGAAAAAGGAGTGACATTACAACTTAGCCACAAGCCTCTTACATTTGTTGTTCCTGTTGTCCTCATGATCATCATCAGGGAAAAGGTCCACCATCGGATCATCTCGCTTCTTTTCGCTTTGTCCGCTACGGTTTGTGTCAGACTCCTCGTTCACATCGCTGTCGTATTTGCTGCAAGGACAAATTGCAATATTAGTACGCGGTTTCCAGTCATCAGCTACTTCATATCTGAAGTTTCAAGCATTGCATGCCAGGTCTGGCAGCTTTGAAGTTTATCTGTCTGCCTATATGTACTGCTTCAGGATGCATCGTTGGTTTTTCCATAGTCCATTTCAATTAAAGTTTCTAAATAGTTAGAGCATCTAGTTATTAGTGGATCTGCCTATCGAAAGAAGCAACTTTACATAGTACATACATAGACAACAGTGAGATACAGAATTTAATAGATTATAAATTACTTATAAGGCGTCTTTGATACGCAAGAACTCATGGATTCGACTCCAGAAACACGTCGAATACACACACTGCAGAATGGCTGAACTGTAGTGTTGAATTATGTACTCTCTGTTATATTTTGATAGTTAATTTATGTATTTAATCTCTGAACAAAGTGTGCCTTATATCGATTAGTATAACTCATTTGAGGCGATATAATATATTTGTACTCAATTTATTTCTGTAAACAGTAACTCTTACAGCAGAGTAGTGAAATACATGAGGAATGTGTCTCAGAGAACGCATCTGATGAGCGTGGGCGTGAAGAACTCACTAAGGGTGCTTTTACACAATGCAAGTGGCTTGCGCATGTTGTGGCACTTGCGCAGGTTATATGCTTCGCGAAAACAACTAGGCGGTTCCAGCGACTCGAGCATGCACCAGCGCGACTCGCATTGCGCGCAAAATTAATTAACTCTAGTAAAATAACGTTTTTAACTAATTATGCCATAAGAATTCACTTTCGCCTATATATTTTTCATATACCCGCGGGTATATGAAAAATATGAAAGACCAAGTAACTTGTGCATACTACTAACGCAAATAATCCACGTCTTTACCCGTTCCAACTACCTGCACCATGTAGAAGCACCCTAAATACACACAGCAGGAGAAGTACACATACCGTATAGAAGCCATGAAGTCCAAGTGCTTGTTCTCCTCTTCCAACTGCGCGACTCGTTGTTCCGAAGCTTGCAAGTGTTGTTGTGCAGCTGCGAGCTCGTCACGGAGCCATGCATTTTCTTGGCACAGTCTCCTAACTTGGGTACGGAGCTTCTGCTTTTCGGCCTCCACAGATTGTAGATGGGAGGCTAAGGCCATCATTACCTGGGAAAGAAAATGAGATTTAAATTTCATCACGAATTTGTATCTATGAAAAGTAGTCTCTTAATCTTGAACTGAATTAGAATTAACGTGTGTGTGTTAACCGTGTGGTAACAGATTAAGAATACTTAGGGTCACCACCACACCTATTCATCCCGTGGGTGTCGTAAGAACCGACTAAGGGAGCAAACAACGCAGGACAACAGCACAGTAAAGAGAAGGAAAACTTGAAACAAAGACTATGCCAACCCGTCTGACCAGCGTGGTATAGTAGACCAAAACCTCCTTCGATTCCCGCTCAAGTCAAACATTTAATGTTTGATTTTGTCTGGGTGTTTCTATGTATAATATGTATTTAAAAAAAAGTATATATGTATTTATATCAGTTGTCTAGTACCCATAGTACAAGCTCTGCTTAGTTTGGGACTAGATGGCGTTCTGTGAATGTGGTAGAATATATTATTATATATTATGAGAATTAAAATATAATCGATTATTAGAATAACATTTTAAGAGATGAATGTTAAAAGTAGGATTTAGTCGACTGGCCTGTTGGTCGAATGGTTGGTAATCCTGACTGTTAAGCCAGAGGACGTGGATTCAATTATTTCCACCCAGGACAAATATTAAGTAATGAGCACGATCATTTGTTTTCTGTCTGGGTGTAACTTATCTAAATACAATATTTATCAGGGGTCAGAGAGCCATGCGTAAGATGTATCAAGATATTGTTTATATTATAGCCCCATTTCTGAAATGAGGGTAGTATTGTTTAAGGGTCTCAGACGAATGGAAGTCTTGTTCATGGACATTATATTTAAGATAACAGCGTGGCAAGTTCCATTCACAAAAATAGAGAAATACGAGATGGCGATGCATTCAAAATACCTGCGCTTTAAGCCTTTTCAGGCACAGGTAAGAACTAGGGTCGTGGGGCGATTTGTCAATATAGTTGGGTTATATACATACAAAAATTGTTACCGTGACGTGTTTCGTTACGTTCATATAATAAAGCATGTTCAAAGTCAAGACTTTTGTTAAGAATTCTAAGCAGTAAGTTTATCTATAAATAGTTAACCTTCTTCTTCAGCGACCCTTATCACCGTCAGAAACTCAATATTAGATGTACAATATGTACATACGAGTACAACAAAGTAACAGTCCAAGAGTCGAACCGCCAGACCTACGTCATTTAAGATGAAATGATGTAAATAAGCAGTGTTTATGTGGAATCTCTCAAAGTTTCACCTTTAATAAAATAGCTTTTACTGTATATCGTATACCATATTTATCGATTTTTATCCTAATAGCATAACTCTCAAAATTATCTTAGGAAAGAGTGGTTTATTTATTCTGAAATTAAGCTTAAATACCTATTTAGTGTACGTATATCACATTAGTTCGATTCGATTTGTATTAGTTTAAGTTATCAGACTTTGACTCCCGAGGGATCTCAGACCTACAGTCTAGTGGAATTCTGTAACACTAACCAACTAATTATTTCTGAAAGACGGTGTATGATCATATAAAAGTATTAATTAGTAGCTACACTCTGTAACGCTTCGTTGTGGCACATTGTGGTTGTATTAATGAAAAATAAGAAATAAAACTGAAGCAAAAAATAGATAAAATCAATCTTTGAAGCGGTTTAAATATTGTTTAAAAATTTGAGCCTAATCGGAGTTTTTGAAGCGTACTACGTGTGGTGACGGATTAAGAATACGTAATGACACCACCCCTATTCATCCCGTGGGTTTCGTAAGAGCCGACCAAGGGAACAAACTGCACAAGACAACAGCACTGCAAAAAGAAGGAAAACTTGAAACAAACCCTATACCAACCCGTCTGGCCAGCGTGGTATAGTAGGCCAAAACCTCCTTTCTAAGGAGAGGCCTATGTCCAGCAGTGGACTATTATAGGATGATGATGATGAAGCGTACAAAAACCAACTTAACATTTTTATATATTTAGATAATAATATTCAATTATGTCGTATTGTTCAATTGTGTCGTACCTTGAAGTTGCGATATTTACAAATACGCTGATGAACACACTAAGACGTTACTTAGAGTCCAAAGATCTGGGGCGTGAAATAGACTATTCAATGGCAATTTCGCACTGGCGCAACGGAAGTTCAGAGCGGGAGCTAAGTGCATTACGAGATCACCGCTTCTAAGCGGGAAGTCTTAATATAATGATGGAAAATACTCTGTGGCGCTATGAGAAGTAGAAATTATTATTGTTACGTATAGTCTTGTCATTTCTGGTCATATATTAACACTTTTTAAATTCAACTAACATCTTAAAAAAACTGAAGATATTTATTTCTTTGTCATTTTATCACCAGTTTGATGCAGAACAATTATAAACAACTAATTATATTTCTAAGGGAGAACAATGATGTTGAAAAATATAAGATTAAAAATACCGAATATTCGGTCGCCTTGCACTAATTGATACATATTGCACTAGCCACGACCCAAAAGCAAATTAAAACAGGCTGCGTAAGTACAAAATGGACAAACGTGTAATCTTTTTTAATTTACACGGAGTATACTTAGTACTTAGTAATTTCATTATATAGTTATATCCTTATAACATTACATCTGCAATACGTAAAAAATAAAATACCAACATCGGGTAAAGGGACCGAGACTTCGGTTGTTAGGACGCCAAAGTCTGAAAAAGCTCATTATTATTATTAGTCAACATCTTGTTTAATATTGAAGTATATTAAAGATATCTACATATTTCTTTTTGTATATTTGATTGTTGACTCAGATTGTTATTTGAGACTTCGTTCGGAATTTAAAGAGCGTTGCCTTAGTGGTGTAGTACGGTACGCGACTGCAGTCCATGAGGCCTCGGATTCGATTCCCGGTTTTTTCTGAGAGGAATAATAGCCTAAGTTATTCAGCTACCTAGTCCTAGTAAAATATTATCAAAATCGGTTCAGCTGTTTTGAAGATTACCCGGAACAAAATGTTTTTTAACCGTGTGAGCATGAAAAAAACCTATTATTTTGACATTACAAACAGACACTTCAATTTTATTTATTTGTATAGATATATCCTATGAATAAAACCTCTATCTCTTTCTAATTCTTTTTATTTGTAGCAACATTCATTAAGTATTTTTTATTTACTCTTTTATGTCATCTGTTCGTCATTAGATGACTTGAAGGACTGGTGACAGTATACGAAATATAACTATGTAATTGTGTTTTCTATTTCAAAAAGTTAGAAACATTTCATTCAACCTGAATAAAACGTACTACGATCAACTAATACGATAGGAGACTCTACTTAGAACAAAAGTACAAAAGCAAATAATAACAAAACTGTGGAGCAACCGAAAGATATTATAAAATTATTAGTTCACCGTCTTACAAATTATTTCTACCGAACGCTAGCCGCAGAGTTCATTCTTAATAGACCTTCATTGCACTTTGTATTCTGTTAGCACTACTGCTTTTCGTAAGTAAATTGCAAAAGTTGAACATGAATTCAGTCGAGTATAGCTCAAGTCAATTTAACTACACAAAATTGGAGCGTATTTAAGAATTGTCAGCTTAATGAATTACAAACAATAAATTCTAATAGAGCCAGATACGATTATTTATTATCTGGGATATTTTAGTATTCATCAAGTGAAATCTATGTGACAATATTACTACGCTAAGACATAGGTGCCGTTGACGCTAAATCGTCTGTTCTGACTAAAGTAGGAGCAACTTCTCGCTAAACAAATTTTCTTTAATTAATGGGTTTTATTTAGCAAGATTCTGCACATTTATGTTATATCAGACACGTTCCTGTTCAATACATTTTTTTATGCAACAATGAGGACGGTAAGGGATGCTTTATTGTTCTCTGTTGTGTAAGAAAGTCAAGGTCACCTAGTGATTAGGCCACCGATCCACAACAGGTGTTAAACATCATTACTCACGACCCCATCTACTTGCAGGAAAATAAACCCTATTTCGTCTTAAGAGTGAGAGGGAGGAGCTTCTTTGAGAGGGACCGCTATTCGTATTCAGCTAAAGACATGCAGAACGCGTTTTTGTACTTAAACACCGTTATACAATACACACACAGATATCGTTTATCACAGTATAGTTTATAATGTCGATTTTTTATACACAAGCTTCTTATGCACCTGAAAATAAGCTCTATTTTTCGTCAACACCTAAAAAAATCCAATACTTCTGGGCTCAAGTTGTTAGCATCATAAAAATTGATTTTATTAAACTTTCATGGATTTTTAAATTGTGATATGGTATATGTCTATATAAATTCTTCAGTTACTCGCTAAACAAGATCGACACAGCGTCACGTTTACAAGTCTTTTTTTACGTCAAAACAACAAGAAGTTTTTTGATTACAAGCCAAGGGGTGTGCGTGCGACATTCAGGGTTGGTAATCTCAGACATAAATAAACTCAGTTGATTAATGAGACGCCGTTTGTCGTGCCGTCTCGTGCTACACGGCTTTAAAACTTTGGTTTTGTGTTAATTAATTGTTCGTTTATTCCTAAGCTAGAAACGATATATCTACAAATACAATGTATCTAGGTTTATCACACTGTAGGGAAAGGAGAATTCTTGGTTCCACTTTCAGACGTACGCATCATTATTTCAAATATGGAAAGAAAAATGATTTTAATGTAAGATTTCGACCCTGAATCTATTCTATAGACTATATTCTATAGACTTAGTTGCCATTTTATAAAATAAAACATTAATGGTTGAATGCAAATAAAATTGGTTTAAAATAAAATGGTTAAATAATATTATCCGTGATAATAATTCGTAATGTCACATCCCTGTCAAAAACACGATGCCATAAACATTATTAAAAAAAAACTCTAACGTCAGTGTAACAATATATTCTCATTGTTAAGATTACGTTAATATTTCATATGGGCTATCTGAAATGGGATTTCTCCTTTGTGTCTTTGTTTTTATTTATTACGAGCTTTTGGAGTATCATAAAAGATATCTT